AGAAAACTTACCTATTGAGCAATTGACACCCTGCCACTCGTTCGAACAGAAACATTGATAACCATTTGGTGGAAGGTGCAGACAAGAGCCACCATTTTCACATGGATTCGTGGCACAAGGAGATAGAGCTGAGAAAAAAAAAAACGGAAAAAAAACAACATAATTACTTCTCTTTACTTTAATTATGATCAAAATAGTCATACAGTAACTCTTATCGAATAGCTCAAAGTAGCGCAATTTATTACCTGCTCTTTTTTGGACTTTATTGGGACCTACTTCGAAACCTACCAATTAGGCCTACGTTCTCAGTATTTCTGTAAGACATTTTCCTGTATAAATAGTCCTTTGGATGATGAGACATTAAGTCTTTGTTATCATTTGCACATACTAACAGTGTAAAGGATAGGTATCAAAGGGATAATACCTACTCCAAGAAATGAAATACACGGCATTGTGCTTGGATTAAATATTTCTACTCTTTATTGGGTCATCGTCAGGATGATTTCTGACCCAGAGAGTCGAATTATTGAATCAATCCTATCACGATGGCTTGTATGTCCTATTTCATTTCTCGGAATAAGTATTGTTCTTTCGTATTTGAAACTAATCAGTGGACCGACCTCTGGTAAAAGATTTCAAAATCAGTTTCAAAAGATTAGGGGTTGTCTCCCGGTCTTACCGAGATAGGCGTTCCCCGGAGACATCCATACTTTTTTTTTTTTTAATTCAGCATAGACCATTATACTTTTTGATTTAACGATATCTTTTATTTGTATGTTATATATTAAGCCTTATAGGTTTTTTGTTTGTTTGTTTGTTTGTTTTTGTTTTTTTTATTTTTTTTATTTTGTTCTTTTCTTACATTTGTTTACAAGTATTATTAGAATCAACTAGGCCTAATTCTAATTCAAAAAATGGGCCTAATAGTAATACAGTAGTCACATTATTATTACTATGATGATGATGATGATGATGATGATGATGATGTTGATGATAATAATGATTGTTATCATTACCATTTGCTATAGGCCTAATGATCAATATTACTATTACCATACCATCACCTGATTATTAAATTGTGTTCAAATATTTCTCTTACTTGATTCATATGAGAGTGACCATCCTTTCAGGTTTACATTTTTATCCGAGGTAAACAAAATCACCACCTGATTAGTTTCCAGTGTAAAAGGTAGGGGTGGCGGAACATAATACCCGTCGTACGTTAAGTTTACTGGAACATTTGTATCAGTTTCTCTTGTCTCAATGAAGAACGGGTCTGGCGCTATCTCTATATAGTCTTTATAACGTTCTATTTCCAAATGACTGAACGTAAATGTTAAAAATGAAGCATTTGCAACGCGAATGTTGTAAAAACAAATAAGCCGTTGTGTGTAATTAGACGGATAGTTTGGTGACGTCACAGTCCCCGACGGAGTATAGGAATCAGATCCACATCTGGTTGAAACTTCAAAACACAATACACAACATAAATTGATAGGCTTATATGTTTATTTATATACACTTCATTTTAGTATAGCTACTAAATACGCACCTCTTTACAGCCGCTTGTGTCACGGATCACGCCCATACGCAATTCAGCACAAGTTATGGGTTATTCTCCTACCTTTCCTTAATGATTAATATGATTAACATATATTCATATAATTATAGACTAATACACGTAAAATCATACGATCAAAGGTAGGTTTTTCAGTTCATGAAAATAATACTACGGAGGTTGCTTCATAGACATGGCCTAACACGTCTCAGTGTACTTCAAAAACAGTAATAAATTGATACATGAGAAATAAATGATATAGTGGGGTACCGGTAACTTACATGCAGACTGTTCACATTGCTGACCATTAAATTGACCGTTGCATAGACACACGTAACCAGGCTCTAAAACAGATTCCACACACGTAGCGCCATTGCGACAGGGACTACTATTGCAAGCTGAAAGTGATAAAATGTGTAACTTACCCCTAGAGTGAAAATCACAACCAAAATTATCAAAAGAATGCAAACAGTTTGTCAGTTGCCACGATTAAACGAAATAACGAAAGGCATACAAGATGTTATTACCACAACCAAATTAAATCATGTATATATATGTATATATATATATATATATATATAAATATATATATATATACAT